CTTGAGCAAGTACATTTTCTGCCGCGTGTTCAGCTGCGTGACTTTCGTCAGACTCTTGTGGAAGATAAACCCCAGCATGGCAACTATCGATTTGACGTAGTATCGGGTATTCGAGGTGTTGAATTTGAATTTGCAGACATTTGTGTCTTTTGAAGTTGTTTTTACATGAAAATATATGGCCTGCTATGGCGAGTTCTTGGTCCTGTTTCCTTAATCTTGAATGTATGGGGGCGCAGACTGAACCAAGAATGATTTTGCCGTCTCGTGAGAGAGGCAAGTGTGAACTTTCAAACGTTGCCCAACCTTGTAGCCAAAAGCGCCGCAGAACGAGTGGTTTCGCCCATTCCAGAAGCAGCGTAACGCTTGTAACTGACTGGGACCAATAGGAGTAACTGCTTCGGTCCCGCTGATCTCGAGCGACGGCGAGGCGGTCGCATGAACGAAGACACGAATGACCAATGTAAGGCAAGGTCAAACAGCTCAAGTGTATTTAGCGGTGTTGTCATTAGTGGCGTCTTTCATCACGACTCTCGTCCAGAAGGAGCTTGACGTGCTGTTCAAGTCTCGGGATGAGAACATCGAGCGGCTGAACCAACAGGTGACAGCGCTAATCAAGGATGTCGAGCGCATCACGATGGAACTGGAGTCTCGAAGTGCATGGAATCGAAGCTTAACCAAATACGAGGCTCAACTGAAACTAGCTGCCCAGGACACGTCCCCATCCAAGAAGTAAGTTATCGTACCCCGAACGCCATGGCACATTGACATTGCTTTGGCAGGAAATTCGCTCAGAAATCATGCAAGAGATTGCCAGCGATTGATCCCGCCGATGACGACACAACAAACGTACGCAACGAAGACGGGAAGCTCGTGTTTGGTACGTCCTGCGAAGCGAAACCCGTTCTCAACATGCTCTGCTGCAGACAAAAAGTTGCCACGCGTGGCCAACATCGACAAGAGCAACCAGTCGTTCTTGAACGCCCTGACGTTGCAATCGCAAAAGCAAAAGATCTACGAGCAAGCGTTCGTGCGGTACCCTGAGTGCAGGAGCACAGTGTTTGCGCCAAGTAGCTGGGACCCGCGCAACATATCTGTCCAACAGCTCGAGCTGCCGAATATGCAACTCAAGCTGACGCGAGTGCATGGGTACCACAGCACATCCAACTCGAATGTGTTTTACTTGGCATCGGGGGAGCTGGCCTGGTTCACGGCCAAAGTTGTCGTCATGTACTCCAAGTCGAGGCAGCTTCAGCGGTTCTACATGGGCCACTCCAAGGAAGTGACTGCAATGGCGATGCACCCAAACGCGCAAATCGTTGCGTCGGGGCAGTGCGGCAAGGACTCTGCGCTGATCCTTGTGTGGGACAGCAAGCGAGTGAACGCGGAACCGACTCATGCATTGGCAAAGCTCGAGGGACAATCCGTCAACATTCGAAGTTTGAGTTTCTCACACGATGGAAAGTTGATCGCGTCGTTGGGAGGCGACTTGTACAATACCATTTGCGTGCACGACTGGCAGGACCAGACGCTTCTGGTAAAGGCCAGGTGAGTGCGTTCAAAAACGAGCCTAGACAGCTCAAGGCCTGGAGAGTTGTAGGGGCCACAGCTCCAAGGTTTGGACCGTGGCATTCAATCCGTACCAGGCGTACGGAATGCCCGACAAAACCAAAGCGCAGCAGCGGGTGCCCAAGAGGCAAAAGTGGGAGGCGCGGCCCCGCCCTGGCCAGGCTCTTCGAGATGAAGATGCGTGCTACACTCTTGTATGTCCACGTCGTCGCAGGCTGCATTTTAAACGTGTCGTAGGTCAGCTGCGGCGTTCAGCACATCAAGTTCTGGACGCTGACCCAAGTGGACTATTCGCCTCCGACTACTGTGGCCAAGGTGGGGTGAACATAGATTATTCATCTCAGCCCGGCCTGAAGGAGGAGAGCGCATTCTATGGGTCGTGCTTTGGCGGGCCGAACCGCGCTAGGCAGCCCCTGCCCCACGAGAAAGTGTGGAAACTAGAAGGCAACCCTCCGCTGATGAAGAGCGAGGCCCAAGACTTCACGTGTCTTGCATTCACCGACGATAACGTTCCTCTGCAAGTGTACGACGAAGCCACCGACTGTATAGTCGAGTCCCCGACGGTAACAAGTTTGCCAAGCCCTACGGAGCATTCATCACCCCCCTCACAGCAAAGCGAAACCACGCTGGGTCGCATTGTCGCCGGTACTGCCAAGGGCGACCTGTACGTATTCTGGCAACCTCGGAGGTCTCCAAGCCCGCAACAACCTGACTTGCCTCAGAAGTGGTGGGAGCTCCCTGCTGCGTCGTGGCAGCTGAGCGACGACGTATGTCTCGAGCATGTCCACTTCGAATCGACAGCGAAGCTCGTGGAAATTATCCCGCACGACGTATCGACTGGAAACCGGTTCAAAATCTCTCGCCATGCTCAAATGGAGTTGCAAGACCTCCAACAAAGGTGATTTGTACACGGATGAGGTCGTGGCTGTGACCTGGAGACGTAGACTGGCACTAAAACCTGATGCCAAGCCGTTGCTCGATCGTCTCGCCAGCCTGGAATACAAAGGCCCCCTGGCTCACGTGAACGGACCGTGCAGCCAAATCGCGTGCGATGTCAGATCGGGCAATATTGCGACTGCTGGTGGTGACGGCAAGGTGCACATTTGGACTCTGCACCTCTTGGACCCGATGAGAGTATGTGGGACTCGAACGCTGGGCCAGTACACCCCCATGCATGGCGCAGCCAGCGACGGGCGACACAAGATGCAGCTCGAGCGAAGTATTCAAATTCCGTCCAAGGCTCGGCTGACAAGTCTCCACTGGAGTGGCGATGGAGCGGTCGTGGCTGGTCTGAGCAACCACAGCATTTGGGAAGTGGATGTTGCGACGGGTGAATGGAGTGTGGTGGTCGAAGGGTGCGAGGGCAGCGTGTTAGGTACGTCATGGAGAGTGCACGGGGAAGACTCAACTCGATCGACGAACAGGGGGGGTGCTTTTGGAGGACCAGAACGAGCTCGTGACGGTGTCAAGCGATCACTTCATCCGGTGCTGGGACATGGGCAGCCTCCTGTGCGTGAAGAAGTGGCCACTTAAGAGCACAGGTACATACATCGAAGCCCATCCAAGTCGCGGCGACCTTGCCGTGGGGTGCGCAGGGGGAGAGGTACGGCGCACTCTTCACCCTTCAAGGCACATGGGTTGTTGCCGTAGGTGGTAGTGCTCAGCTACCCCGAACTCTCGGAGAAGAAGGCGCTTCGAGTGCTGAGCAACGAGAGCGTAAGTGTGCTCAAGTTTAGCCCCGACGGCAAGTACTTGGCCGTGGGTGCCAAGGACAACTGTATGCACGTCTACGATGCGACCGAGAGCTACAAGAAGGTGGCCAAGTGCGAGGGACACGCCACGTTCGTATCGCACATCGACTGGAGCATCGACGGGTACTTGCTGCAGACCAACTCGGCCGACGGCGAGATCTTGTACTGGCAAGTCCACGGCGCGTCCGTCCGCCAGATTACTGACGGCATGCTGGTACGTGTTGGTTCTGCAACGAGAGCAGCTGACGCAAGTTGCAGATGCGCGATATTTTGTGGGACCGGTGGAGTTGCGTGTTTGGATGGCCTGTGCAAGGTATTTGGGCAGACCACAGCGCGTGCAACGATGTGTCGGCGGTTTGCCTCGTGGACGTCGTTCCAACGTACAACCACCGACCTGCAGATGTGCACAACGTACTGGTTGCCGATCGCAGCCATCTTCGCGCATTCCGTTGGCCATGCATGAAGTCTGCGCAAAGCTACAACTACGATGGACATGCTGCCAACATTACATGCATCCTGACGTGGAAGCAGCACTATGTCGTCACCCTGGGTGGAGCCGACGGAACGATCATGGAGGTACGGAAGATGGTTTGAAAGGCTCGGTCCAACCGCGTGATGTGTAGTGGATGGCTGTCGCGAACGAACATAGGGAAGTCGACTCTATGCAGGAAGGGCGAGGCTGGAATGGCGAGGTCGATGCGATGGAGCAGCAATACACAAGCAGGCCGATGGACAATGATGGAATTCCTGTGGACCAGCCATCCAGCCCGACACGGCCACCATCAGACAACATCCAACGACCAAGAACACCACGACACACTTTCATCAAGGAGGGTGCAAATGATGTGACCCACCAGAGCGAGGAAAGCGTCCCAGATACCGAGCGAAACACTGACGACGTGGAAGTGCGTGTGCCGCGGGACGAGATTCCTGCAAAGGAAGAGGCCATTCGTGAAGGAAGCACGACAGATGGCATCGAGTGTGGCCGCGCAAAGTTTTCATTTCAGGGCGAACACCCCGACGAGCTCAACTTGAAGGAGGGAGAAGTTATTCGTATCTTGGAGAAGCGAGAAGGCGACTGGTGGTTTGGTGAGACTTGCGACGGAACGAGTGGCATCTTCCCACGGGAGTATGTGCAGATGGATTAGCAGACATCAGGGTGTCCAATCCATCCATGATGCAACCCCGTCGTCCCATGTCTCTGCTTGTCGCGGGAAAGTTCCTTTGGTGTGGTGGGATTCAGACATCCGAAAATATTATCTTGCATGAATATAACAAACGTTCCGAATTAGGCTTTTTCGGTTAAAATTCGGATTTCTCTGTGTTTGCGTAACTGCCCAAGGAAATCTGGGGACTTCCGAGGTGGTTCAGATTCCGATCCGCCCCAACATGACCAAATACCGAAGCACTCGCGGCGACGTCCGCAACTACTCGTTCGAGGAAGCTGTCCTGAGCGGCTTGGCGTCGGACCGAGGCCTCTTCGTACCTGAAGAGAACAGCTTCCCATCGCTACCTCCAAATGCTCTCTCGGAGTGGGCGTCGCTGTCCTACCAGGACTTGGCCGTGGAAATCATGTCGCTGTTCATTGACCCCAACGAGATTCCTCGTCGCGACTTGGAAGCCCTTGTGAAGAAAGCGTACACGTTTGGGGATGCCAACTACCGCCACAAGGACGTCGCTCCTATGGTCAAGATTAAGGACAACTTGCATGTGCTGGAATTGTTCCACGGCCCAACATTTGCCTTCAAGGACATTGCGCTTCAATTCCTTGGCCACCTCTTCGAGTACTTTCTTGAGCGTAAGAACAAGAACAGCGATACTGTGCACCAAGTGACGGTCATCGGCGCGACGTCGGGCGACACGGGAAGCTCTGCTATTTACGGCCTTCGCAACAAGAAGAACGTCGGAGTGTTCATCCTGTTTCCCAACGGCCGTGTGAGCGACATCCAGGAGCAACAAATGACGAGCGTCATCGATGACAGTGTGCACAATCTGGCAGTCCAGGTACATTCTGACAGGTCCATCCGTCCTTGAGTGCTGATGGATGGCTGGCGAAGGGCACGTTCGACGACTGCCAAGCCATCGTGAAGGATCTGTTCGCGGATACCGCTTTCAAAAAGAAGGTGAGCTCATTTGAACGTCACATCCCCGCCTCATGCCGTGGATCGTCCAGTACAACCTCGGGGCAGTGAACTCGATCAACTGGGCGCGCATCCTGGCGCAGATTGTGTACTACTTCTATGCGTATTTTCGTCTGCCGAACCGGGACAACGTGGTGTTCTCGGTCCCCACTGGCAACTTTGGCGACATTCTCGCTGGGTTTTACGCCAAGGTGGGTGCGCTCTCGAGTGAATCCTGCACCTGATGCGTTAAGCAGAGATTGGGGCTCCCCATGGAGAAGCTCATTGTCGCCACCAACGACAACGATATTCTTCACCGATTCTTCTCCACCGGCAAGTACCACCGCACCCATGTCAACCACACAACGAGTCCGTCGATGGACATCTGCGTCTCGTCCAACTTTGAGCGGTACCTGTTTTCGCTCTGTGGCGACGACCCCGCCGTGCTCAAGGAGTGGATGACTACATTCGAGTCAACGGGAAAGCTTACCGTCCAAGGGACTCTGCTAAAGAAGGCCCAGACCGATATGTCGTCGTATTCCATCCTGGAACCGGTACTGTTTGGTATGAGCAACGCATATAGCTCTGATGCATGGATGATGGTAATAGGAAGTGCAGTCTACCATCAAACAGTACCACGTCAAGCACGACTATGTGCTGGACCCCCACTCTGCAATCGGGGTGGCGGCGGCTGACCATTACCTCGAGTCCGAGTCCCCCAACGCTTCGGTCGTAGTGTTGGCTACCGCTCATTACGGCAAGTTCCTGCCAACTGTGTTGGACGCGTTGAAGGAAGGCGGTGCGGAGGTGGAGCAACACCCAGTTCTGCAGGCCTTGGAAAAGTTGCCTCGTCGCTCGTTTGTGATCGAGAACAACGTGTTCTCGGTCAAAGCGTTTGTGGAGTCGCATGTCCGACGAGAGGAGAAATCCACTCAAGCGGGGTACTTCAGCTCCATTTCGCAGTCTCTTCTCCTCCAAGGGTCGCTCCTCGTCGCGGTAGTTGGCGTGGGAGCGTTCCTCGCGCTCAAGAAGTAGGTCCATCGTTGATTGTCGTGTCATTACGATCTGCGATCCGGATACACAATATAACCAAAAAACCTTTTTAACCGATTCGACATAGATCTGAAATAGTAGGGTTTCGGGGTTTTGCTTCAGGTGGAGTAAAAGTAAACGCTGCAAATTATGAACACTCGGCCAAGCAGCCAACTGTAATGCACAGTAGATTGTTGTATGCAGCAGTTCCCTCCAAGGGTGTTCTGCACCTGCAACTTTCCATCTGAACGGAGTGCAGTACAGTGGTGAATTCATGCAGTTGTGATAAGAAGTTAAAACGTCTCAATTTTGAAGATTTGCAAGCGTCAGTTATTTTATCCGGATCGTCGGAAAACCTTTATGCGGACACTTTCAATTCCACGACACTGAGTGAATCGAAATGATGGCGCAGGAGCAAGCGCTGTTGTCTCCAATGCCGATTGCCTTCTCGAGGAAGCTCAGCAGTAGCTCTAGCTTCTCCGAAAATACTCCACGAGACCCAGAAGAACTGTCAGATCGATCTTCCTCGACGGAGAATCGCAGAAGTCTCACCGACGCCCTTGGCGATATCATTGCGGGAAACCGCAGAAGTGGTTTGTCCTTCCCAAAGATGGGAAGTTGGCGTAAAGGAAACGGCAACAAGTATGCAGAGAACGGAGACCTTGATTACCTCATCCAAAACTCGGACAACTTAAATTTCTCGACGGACGCCATGGATTTAGCCGCTGCCAATGGACACTTGGATGTTTTGCAGTGGCTACATGTCCACCGAACTGAAGGTTGCACGACGAAAGCGCTTAACAAAGCTGCTTCAAATGGTCGCATTGCTGTTGTCACGTGGTTGCATTTGAATCGCATGGAAGGCGGCACTTCGGAAGCAATGGACGGAGCTGCCGCCAATGGACACCTCGACGTTCTCAAGTTTCTGCACAAGCATCGCCACGACAAGGAAAGCTGTACTTCAGCGGTAAGGTTTCTCATTAAAGGTGTTGACTCTTACCTCGACACCCCGTGTAGGCGTTGGACCTGGCTGCAGCCAACGGCCATCTAGGCGTCGTGGTATGGCTACATTTCAATCGACCCGAGGGATGCACTACCTCGGCCATGGACAACGCAGCCCTGAATGGTCACGTGGAGATTCTTAACTTTCTTCTGGAACATCGAAAGGAAGGCTTTTCGAACCCCTCGACGACACTGATGGCACTGGTGAAAGCTGGAGACCTGACGACATTTGTGTGGATGGCCGACCATGCGTGCGATGATTTGCAGTACTTTTCCATGATGGACGTAGCAGTTGCTGAGAACCAGCTCGACATTCTCACTTGGATTTATGAAAAGAAGCACGGGTTTTGCAGCCGTGCGGTTCAGAAGAAGGGCAATCCGGCAGTCCAAGCATTTCTGAAAGCGAGCTTGCACACGCAGTACTGGGAAGCGTCGCACCCGATCGACTATGCGGCCTCGCAGGGCTTCCTCCTCTTTGTCGAGTACCTCCACAACTCGCAGCAGCCCGACCTGGCAACCGAGATGGCCATGAACGTGGCTGCAACCAATGGACACTTGGAAGTGGTGAAATTTCTGCATGAGTCGCGAAATGAGGGTTGCACGACCGTCGCGATGGACGGCGCGGCCACGAACGGCCACTTAGAAATTGTGCAATTTCTGCACGAACACCGCTCTGAAGGCTGTACGGTCAAAGCAATGGACATGGCGGCGGACTACGGGCATTTGGACATCGTCAAGTTTCTCCACACTGAACGCACCGAAAGATGCTCGCCCTATGCGCTGAATGCCGCTGCCAGCTCTGGTCACTTGGATGTGGTCCAGTACCTGGCATCCAACCAATTGGGTGAACCGTTCCTGGCCATTGATTTCGCCGTGCAACATGGACACCTTGGTGTAGTCAAGTACCTCCACGAAGAACATGGGGCCATGTGCGAAAAGTCGATATTCGACCTGTGCTCTGATGCTGCAACGAAAGAATACCTTCAAAACGACACGAAACACCCTGCATTGTGGGAGATGGAGCCTCTCGACTTTGCAGCCGGCGAAGATCGACAGGACCTCATCGATTGGTACGTCCGAACGGGCCACTCCATCTACACCACCAAAGCGATGGACCGTGCAGCTGCAAACGGACTCGTGGACGTGGTAAAGCGGTTGCACGATACCCGGACGGAAGGGTGCTCTGTAGAAGCGATGGATTATGCGAGCGCCAACGGTCATTTGGCTGTTCTCAAAGCCTTGCACGAGCTGTATGGCAACCATTACACCTCGTTAGCGCTAGATTTGGCGGCGGGAAATGGCCATTTGGACATCTTGGCCTGGTTCGAGGCCACTGGCGACCCAACCATTCACCCGACCTCGAACGCCATGGACTGGGCAGCGCGCAACGGCCATATCGATGTGATGGAATACTTGCACGAGCGAGGCGCAGAGTGCTCCCCGAAGGCACTCGACTTGGCGGCGAAGATGGGCCATCTCGACATTGTGATCTGGCTACACATCACTCGCGGCATCGTTGCAACCCCCTCGACGATGGACGCGGCGGCGTCTGGTGGCCACTTGGAGATTGTCCAGTACTTGCATTCGACGTTCCCCGGCACCGAGTGGTCGAGCAAGTCGGTGGACTTTGCGTTGAAGGGCGGTCACGTTGAGATTGCTGAGTGGTGCTTGGCCCACGAGATGCCCAACTCAAGTGCCACGAAAGACTTGGCGGCGAAGAAGGGGAGTCTAGCCCTCGTGCGCCGCTTTCTCAACGCTCAAGACGAACCTGTTTCGTACCTGTGCGACGGAATGGAGGCGGCGACTCAAAACGGCCACTTGGACATCGTCGAGTACATCCACACGACGCACAAGTTGTTTGTACTTCGCAAACCGTACAAGAAGGCAGCTAAGAGCAAACACACGACCGTGTGCAAGTACCTAGAGGCGACACACGTCGCGTTCTGGGACAAGAATGCGGTCGACTTCGCCGCGAGCCAAAACAACTTGGCATGGGTCAAGTGGCTGATGGGAAAGAAGAAGGAGATGGCGTCGGCGGCCGCGATGGACGAAGCGGCCGCCAACGGTCATTTTGAAATGGTCCAGTGGCTTCACGACAATGGATGCTCGTGCACGACCAACGCCATGGACGCGGCTGCGGCGCTCGGAAGGCTCGACATGGTACGTGTTGGGCAATGGACACGAGCGCTAACGGATGAGATTTAAGGTGGCATGGTTCCATGAGAATCGAGCAGAGGGCTGTACGACGGACGCGATGGACCTGGCGTCCCAGCACGGCCACTTCGACGTGATGCGGTGGCTACACCTCCACCGGGAGGAGGGATGCACGGCGTACGCGCTTAACATTTGCGCGGTCACCGGTCGACTGGACATTCTCCAGTGGCTCTCAGAGATTATAAGCGTTTCGACCAAGTCTACATCGTCTCGCGCACTCCTAGCCGACCCCGACGACGATGAAGAGGACGACTTTGACCCAGACTTAGACCCGTCCGAAGTCGAAGCGCTCAAGGCCCTTCCACAGGACCAGCCGCAGCTTACGCGCCGCGGTACGGAAGGCACGTTGCAACCGCCTGCACCGACCTCGGCGTCGCGTTTCAAGCTCAAGTCCGATTCGACGGAAATGCTGTACGGCGATTGCTTTGAATCAAAGGATTTTACAAATTGGCGTAGGGACCTCTCGAGCGAACACGGCCACTTGGACATGGTGATCTGGCTCACGGAGCAGACTAAGATGATGGCGTCGACAAACGCGATGGACAAGGCCGCCATGAACGGTCATTTGGAAGTCGTGCGGTATCTACACATGAGGCGCCTGGAAGGATGCACTTGCCGCGCGATGGACTGGGCGGCGGCCAACGGACATTTGGAGGTTGTCAAGTTTCTATCGATGAACCGAACCGAAGGATGCACGACGCGGGCGATGGATCTCGCGGCCAAGTTTGGCCACTTGGAGGTACTTGTGAAAGAGGAGTGGGATAGATGGTTGACGACTGTGGTCACCGCAGGTGCTGCAGTGGCTGTATGACAACCGCGACGAGGGATGCACGATGGCTGCGATCGAAGAAGCGACCAAGAACGGGTTCCTAGACATCGTCAAGTGGTTGTACCAAGAGTGCGACGAAGGCAGCGTCCTGAACGTGATCGACTACGCCGTCACACAGGGCCACGCCGAGATTGTCAAGTGGCTGCACGGAGTCAAGAGCGAAGAGTGGTCCCAAGCTGCGGTTGACGTGGCGCGTCAGAGAAAGCACACGGCGGTGCTCGAATACGTCGACAGCTGGCTGTAGAAGACCGCAGCATCGCTGCACCGTCGGCGTATTTAACAACTTTATACGACGGGGTCCGTTTCGCGATTGCAAAAGGTGCCTTTATAAGTTAGAGGATCGTGCAGAGCCCACAACAGTTGGCCGACGCCGGGTTTTGCGCCTGGAACGCTTTTTGATGCTGCCGCTCGAGAGTTTCCTTGGTCACCGTCGCGCCGACACTCCCGTAGATACCTTCCAACATTTTTTGGTTAGGTTGGAATGCCAACCGAGACATTACCATGGCCAGCTTGGAAACTATACTGCGACGGCTTTGCTGGGTCTTGGGGCGCGAACGCCAGTCGCTCCTTTGTGTACTGGTTCTCGTACGAGTACTCTCCTGGTCGAGTGCGGGACAGTACGCGGCGCCACCCAGGCGGCAATCGCGGCGTCTGGCCCGTGGACGACGAGGACGGAGGCGTCAAAAGTCGACCCACCGGCACGATGATGCGTTTGAATGCTTCCACGACATTTGTCGAGTCCAGCGCAGACGCTTCTACAAACTCCATGTGGTGCGTCTCGGCAAAACGCGCGGCTTCGAGAGTTGACACTTGACGGGTGTTGGGGACATGGGCGAGGTCGCATTTGTTGCCTACGAGGATGAGCACAACGTTCTCATGCGCATGTTCTCGGATCTGCGCCAGCCAGTGGGTCACGTGCTCGAACGAATGGCGATCCGTGATGTCATACACCACCAACGCCCCAACGGCATTTCGATAGTACGCAGCCGTAAGGGACTGGAAACGTTCTTGTCCCGCGGTATCCCATATTTGGGCCTTGATACGACGGTCCCCCACTCGAATTGTCTTGGCGGTGAACTCAAACCCGATCGTTTGTGTGCTTGCTTCGTTGTACTTGTTCTTCGTGAAGCGCTGGACCAAGTTGGACTTGCCAACGCCAGAATCTCCGATGAGGACGACCTTAAGAATATACTCCTGCTCGGACTCGGGCTTGCTCGACGTGCTGCTGGCGTCTGTGGCAGTGCCCGACAGCGGCGGGTGGCTCTCGTCCGACATGGGCTGCTCGTTCTTCGTTTGACACAGGAAGACGGCGGCACTGGCGGCGGTGCCTGATTGGTCAAAACAGTGCTTTTACCACCGCAATGTATTGTATTACAGTATCTTTGTGTTCACACTGGCATACTTTGATGAAGGCAATCGGAATTCAAATTAAAATACAACCATTGGGTATTTTATCTTTTTGATACCTTGATTGCGTCACTTGGAGGATGCGGGAGGCGGGACGCCGGACTCGGCGGCTTTGCGCAAGAAACTGGAACGAATGTCTGGAGCAGAAGCGTTGAGGAACTCGCTGGGGAAGTGCAAACCAGCATCTGCGGCCAGAGCCTTCAGGTCTTTCACGTTCTGATATCGGGAATACCGGGTGTGAGACAGAGGAACACACCGCTCGAGACGACAAAGCGTCTTGCTTACCTTGAAGAGCGGTGCGACTTGCGCAACGAGTGACTTGATCTTGTCGGGGTCTGTGTCGGAGTAAATGGTTGTCAATGCCAGCAACACTTTTTCGATGGCTGCCGCGCGTTCTCTCGCCATGTCTTCTTGCAATCCCACCAGCTTCTTTCGCAGGTCGGCCCCGTTGACCTCGTCTGCAGTGGGTGGGAAAAGCACCGTAGCATGACGGATGAGGAACTTGATGTCACTGAGTGCTTTGATCTCCAAATAGATGGACTGCGCTTTCGTTGGCATGGGGACGACGCATGACGGCAACATCTGCAACGGTGACTTACCGCAACCATTGGTTCGACAGTGGACGGATCGATGCAATCGAAGTAGATGTTTCGAATTTTGAGCTCGAGCTCGGCTGCTAGCTTCTTCTTTTCGTTGTCCCGCTTGAGGTCCATGAACGCGGCACGCACGGATGCGGCAGTCGTCGGATCCTGCGCTTTGATGAGGCTGGCCGGGAACAACCGCTCGATGTTTCGGATGAGGCTCTTGACGTCCTCTTCCGTCTACTTGGAGAGTGAGACGCATCCTCGCGATTACAAATCGACCTGGAACTCTTTGAGCACGCGCTTCATCACCGACTGAATCATTGCTTGACCTTCGTTCGAATCAGCGCTTTCCAGATACGGCTACGATGAACATGCCACGAGTTCGTTGAGACGGACGAGTGTGCGGGGCGTATGACTCACGCCGTCTTTGAGTTTGTCGTAAAGTTCTTGCTTTTGACGCCGCCGAACATCCTTTCGATGAAGATACGCAAGGGTTTTGCCACAGACGTTGGCGGGGTCGGCAGTTGCAGCCGCGAGGAGCTTCGGTCGTAGTGGAACGTCCTCCATGTCGAGGATTGTCAGTTGTGTCAGGCGACCCATTTCGCAGGGCAGGTCGGTGAGAGCGGTGCGATTCACGTCAAGCACTTGGAGATTCGCGCACTTATAGATAGAGGGCGGCAGCGACGTGATGGGGTTGTCGTTGAGCCAAAGAGCGTCGAGGGACGTCAGTTGACCGATCGCGTCAGGGATCGTTTGGATATGGTTAAATCCGAGATCGAGGCGGTAGAGTGCCGAGTAGTTGAGGCGAAAGAGGTCTGTGGGAACATTGCGCAGCCGTCTCTGCGCCAGATGCAGCAGGCCCGTGTACTTGGCTTCCTCGAGCTTCAGGTGGACGCTCATACGAACCGTCGCGCGAATTGCCGATGCAAAACCCACCATAAATAATAAATTATCCATTCAGCAAGGTTTCGATACTGCGCCATTTTCGTGCCACTTGGACATTCTTCATCGAGTTGAGATGCAGGAGCGCTTGGTGCGCCATCTCGGGGCTCTGGAAGAGCAGACTCACGGTAGCCTTGGGGGACACAGACACATGAACAACGTTGGGGTCCCTTGTGTCAGAGTACGCGTTTGTGAGGTAGAGCGGTACTAGGTGCTGCACTTCGCCGGATGTCATATCTCGACCTGGTCGGACGAGGACAAACGCGTCGACATTGAGGATGCAGAAGAGACAATCGTCGCGATTCGTGTCAAGCATGCACGGGAGAAAGCTGATCTCGGCCATGCCCATGAGGGTGTGGCTTTGGAACGCTTGCCTGAGCGCAGCGGTTTCGTGCTGCTGGTCGTCGAGAACGGCTTCGACGAGAGGTCTCCACGCAGGAAGGAGCTGCAGGTTCGACATGAACACGTGCAATGCCAGGTACTTTTCGATAGCATGTTGGTCACCTTCATTTTCGGCGTGAAAAGGCGACAAATGAGGCCACTCGACCACCACAGGAGCCGACGCGGGAGTCAAGAGTTTAAGCAGGAGCGTATCCCATCTTGCCAAGTTCCCATGCGAGCCCGTGACCGACGGCAGCAGCTCTAGCGCCCACGTTTGACGCAATGTCTGCAGTCGTCGCTCGTGGTCCAATGCGAGGTGCGACTGATGCTGACTTCCTCGACTGGTGAGTTCTTCCAAAAGGCGCAGGGACACTTTGACGTGGATTAGAGATCGCGGCCGTGACTCCAACTGGGACAGCACCAGATCCACCCATGCGACGTCATGAGTTGGCTCCACGACTGCGTCTTGACATACGGCGTCGTCGTCGTCTTCGTCAGATGACGCTTCGTCGTGGTGCGTCGACAGTCGAGTTGGGGTGGGGAGGTGGACGGGTTTGAGGTGGCACTCCTTCAAAAGGGACTTGTCGATGTTCTTGTTGGACGCAATTGCAGCGAGCAGAGCCGTGGCGCCGAGACTGAGCCGGGAGTCGCTGGACTGGAGCAGAGCCAGCAGGGACTGCTGGTGGGAGTTGCCGTCGTCGGGGAGAGGCAGACGAAGTACGTCGCTAGGAGGCCACTCGCCAATCGCAAAGCGCGTGACAAGATAGCACGAGGACGAGCATGGAGAGAGATCGGTCGGGTCTTGGCTCGATGATTGATGGGGCTGGAATCCAACTGGAGGCAGTTTGGGCAGTACAAAGCGGGGGGACTTCAGTGCGTGGGCAGCTGTGGGGGACAACTCGAGCTGTTTTGACTGGTGCTGGAATTGGAGGCTCTCGGCAGAGAGGGACTGTGGGATGGGGTGGGTGGCCGGAGAATCGACCGAAAGAGGCGGAGACGGAGGTAACGTCACTTGCCGAGGACTGGCTTGGCCTAGAAGGGTCGTCAAGGGAAACGATTCCAATGCAAGCACGTACTCAACGATGACTCGAACGAGGTGGCGCGGGAGAGCGACCTTGCGTTTGACGGCTTGCGTCCCCCAGCTCCGAGGGCCGACGACATGTACGAGCTCTCGTGGGCGTCTGGGTGGAAGAGCCTAACAAATGGTGATGACATGGCACAATGAAGAGCGGTACATCAGGGTGGCGGCGTTGAGTAGCGGTGTGTGGGTGATGCACTGGAAGAACTGGAGCAGTAGGAACAGCGCGAGTAAGGTCGATATGCGCTGGCCGTTGGCATGGCAGTTGGGCAAGAGGCTGTGGGCGACGAACCCCTTCAGGTACGATTCAAAGACCCATTCCCCGAGTTGAAAGGTCAGGTCCGGGAGCGGGACGTCCAGGATGTCCTGCATGTAGTACCAGTGGTCAATCGTTGCATCTATAACGTAGTGCAGCTTGTCTTCGTTCATGTTTTGCATCGTATTGAGGAGCCCTTGCATCTTGAGCGCCAGCACCTGACTTTGGTCCACAAGCTCCATAAAGTACGGCATGTTTTGTCGGTGCGTGAGGAAGCGCCGCATGCGATCATCTGGGACGCGCAGTACATTGAGGAGCACGGTCTTGACGGCGATCTGGACCTGGATCTCTGGACACGCGCGGAACTTGAGCGCTTCGATGTACAGCGGAAACGTGCGTGTGGCAGCGTTAAAGAAGAATTGGACCGTGTCGACGTTCAAGCGGATACTGAGCGCCTTGAGGAAAGTTACGTACCAGTCCCTGACATCTTCTTGATCCAGTTGGAAGTGCCGACAAGTCATGAGCCGATTGATGTAATTGTTGGACAAGATGTAGTACAATGACGTGGTCGTCGAGATGTTCTGGACGAGGAGGCTCAAGGTCTGCAGCAGCTGCACCTGGACGCGATGGGGCGGCGCAGCTTCTCCAATTTGAACGAACAGGGCGAGCATGTTCTTCTCGCAAAAGTACTCGAAGAAGAACTGCTGCGCCGAATGCTGATCGCTGTATATGAGGAACTCGCTCGACACGCGCAAGAGTTCGACGAGAGCGCTTTCACTGAGCTCGCGGTGCCGCAGCAGTTGCATGTGCACGCTCTTGAGACCGTCGAAGCTATAGTTGTTCGGCATCGTCGCCTTCTTGAACCATGAGAACATCCTGGTCGACGATGGCCAAGGCGAGCGTAAGCGTCGCCTCACTCCCTGTTGGAAGTAATGTTCTTTACGTGTTTATTAAACGTTTGGAAACAAAATTGGGGGTTTCGGGGTTCATATGAAAGGAGCTGTGATGTCCCCATGCCGCGCCAAATTGGATGGGCCGTCCACGCACTTCCCGACGCCACAATGCCCAGAGTTTGGTTAACACGACAAATGAAATGGAATATTACTTGAAAATGGCCATCATAACGATGGTGCCAGTCCAAATATGCTGGAGATCGCACAGGTAGGATCCAGCGGGCAATCCATGGAGAGTTTCGTACGTATCGGGGGGATCTCGGAGGCATTCGATCAACGGATCGAGCGCCACTCGGGGGTCGCGCATCTTCTCAATCACCAGGGTGTCGGCGGTGGGTGCAGGAATTCTTTGCCCCACGGGCAAGTTGTCCATGGTAAGTCCTGAAAAGTGGTGCACAATCGAGTTGACTTCCCAAGTGATATGGGATCCCTTCTCCCGCGACGGGCACACGTCGAACTCGTCTACGGTGGGGCGGAAGGAGGCACACACCAACATCGTTCCCCCGTCAAACAAGTTTAGCCACTTCTCGTACACTTCCCACGCATGATCTCCATGCCGCACTTCTATCATGCACAGCCCACCGTCTGACATGGTGGAATAGGTCGCTCCTGCCACCTTCATGGCGTCAACAACATTTTGGGGGACTTCGGCGTTTGGAATGAGGGGCATTCCCCACGATTCGGGGTCCATCGGGGGCTCGTCGTCGGGCTCTTGCCTCGGAGATGACGCCATGGTCGTGACGGGAGGGATCAGCATGGACGATATGCAAGTGCGTAGGCTAGCTCCAGTCGCAGAACCGACCGGCAACGGCTTCGACGATGCCAACGGACTTTTGGCGAGTGGGACAAGCATGCGACACGAGGGTTTGGTTCGATTAGCTCGTTAACAGCGATACATGCGGATGATTTCGCGGACGTCGCCCCGGCAAACGGGGCAGGTCTTGGATGGTTGATTCAGGAGTCTGCCAGCACACGTCATGCAAACGGCGTGGTGGCCGCACGGGACGCACACGCCTTCCTTGGGGTTGTCGAAGCACACGACACACTCGTTTGCGTGTGGCGCGGCTGGGGCGGCGGTAGCGATGAGCAAGGACGCGGTGAGGTCGGGGGCGGAAGGAGTGAAAGAAGTGGCGGTGGGTGATGGAGGCACGACTGTCAGGGTCTTGGCCACTGGGAGGACCACGGTCGTGGATGGAAACAATTCCTCGTACGGAACTTGTTGGGTGACAGTGGTTGAAGAGAACAATTGGTCGACCTGCTCTTCAACGGGGGCTGATGGGGCTCTTGAAAGGCGGGCAAGGGAGGATGACAACGGCCTGTCTGTCTGGGCAGTGGATGGTCTCGTGGTCGCCGGAAGCGCCATCTACCATGGCATTTGCCTAATCGTCAAAAGGATCACAGTTTGCACAAACTTACGACGGAGGCGTCGATGAAAGCATGCTCAAAGAACTGCATCCATGTCGAGAACCCTTCTTCGCTGAGCGCAGCGAACTCAAAAGTTGTTTTCGTGTGGATGTGGGCAGCACCGACAGCAGGGAACGTTTGGAGCCCGTCGAACGAGAACGTGTGGGGCTTGTTGCTGAGGTTTCGTTTGGGAATGGGGGAAGTGATTGGATCGCCCATGTGGTACACGGCCACCCATCTAATCACTATCTCAGATGCATTTCAGGCACGTCGACGTACAATGGAACGGCAGGGCATGCGCTGGGCGCGGTGGTTTCGTACGCGACGAATTCGAGCTCTGTGGATGCTGTATTGGTGCGGAGTACATAGACGTATCTAACGGCATGGCGTGAAAAGGGCACCGTCCCCATGGAGGAAGTCTTTACCGTTGGTGCCACGAGTGGGCCTTTAGACCGACGTTCTCGAGCACGAGGCGGTTGAGCAGGGTGTCGCGGCGGCTTTCGAATAACCAGCCATGGATCACGGCGCATCTCTACGCAATTCTCGGATGAGTAGCGGCCAATCAAGATGGAACAGAATCAAAACCTACAGCGTCCAACGCCCGGCTGCACTTGGCAAATCGGCCGTACTTGTCCCCCAAGAGACTCGCACCTTTGCGCACGATGTGCGTGGGAAGGAGTCCCGCCGTGTTGCGGAGGTATGGGTCCACTTGCGGAAGCGACAATAGAAATGCAACCACTTCTGCATGGTGCTGTTCTGCTGCGCAATGCAGGGGCGTTGAGCCGTGAGAGTTCGTTGCGTTCACATCGGCATTGGCTTGAGCAAGGAATTGTACGCAATCCAAATTTCCGAAGTAGGCTGCAACATGCAAAACGGTGGTCTGCGACGACACTTCGCGGTATTCCAATGCGCCGGGGGTGCGGACGTGTGCCTGAAGCAGGTGGAGGAGACCGAACTTCGCCGCATGCCATGCCACTTGAACGGCTGGAAACAGCTCAAGTGGATTCTGGATCTTCTTGAGCATGTCTGCACGTACATTGGCAATCTTGGTGTTGATCGAAGCTTCCTCCTTCTGCCACTCCCGTAGTTTTTCACTGTCATTTCCGAACACGACTTGCTTCCACTGCGCTTTGTCGATCTTCTTCGAGAGGTAGATGGCTTTCTGATGGAGCTTCTCGACCTTGTTCACGCGCTTGTTCCGTTCCTTGTCGGCGAGCAGCAACGTGCTCATCTTCGTCGTCACTCGACACGAACTGAAATTTCGAGTCAATTCGTACAGAATGTATGTGCCTCTCAAAACCCGATTCTTGTCAAGTGTGAATTCAAACTTGTTCCAACAGTTCGGATATTGCGACAATCTTCGTTGGACACGTACTTTAGAGAGTGTCACTGGTGGTATGTCCTACCTACTGATCTCCCCCCCCAAACGAAACGGGTCAAAGTGAATATAACTTGAAATATTATAATATTATATTTCGAATTACGTTTGAAATTCAAATGGTTGTGCTGTGTATTTCAATAGTTTATACCTCCAATGTTTTATAGATTGTACAAATAGCATAAAGTGGACCGTTTCGATTAGGGGGGGAGATCAGTACTGCTTTTCCTGACTAGAGGAACAGATTGGGCGTTTGGTGACACGCACGATTGGGGCTCACTCCTCGCCAAGGCACCGCCTTCAGGAAACTATACACACGGTCCCCGCAACGCTCAGGTGTCGCAATTTCCAAGGCAATACACTGTCGTCGCTCGCTGCTGGACAGGAAACCGTTCTTATTAGGGTTCATACAAAACAAAGGAGTGCCCGAGTGTTCTGCACTATGTACTGTGAACGAAATGTGTGGAAAAACTGCCTCTCACAATTTTCAAATACTACCTCCGACCAATAAAGTTTGCAACAAATGGATAATTCGTTTCGATCTCGATCAATTTTGAACATTTTTC